ATAAATAAATATATATATATATATATATATATATATATATATCCAGATCATACAAATTTTTTATAAGACTATGCAGACTCATTTATTTTTTAAATATATTTAAATAATATACATTTATTTTTAAAATACATTAAAAATATTAATAAAAATAAAATTATCACATAATATTAATAAATTTTTAAAATATAATTTATCAATACTTGTAAGACATATCTAAAATATAATTTTATTTATTATTTATCAAACACTTAAACAACAGTAAATTCACTCGAACCCATTTCTACAGATACACATCAAAATTATAAATACATTTCCAAACACAGCTTCAAACCATGACGGCCAAAATAAACATCAATATATTGTTAGAAACTTAAAGAAAATTTGCAAATAGAAAGAAAATTCACAAGTTCAGTGCTACCAACACCGGCCACATGGTCAACCCAGTTAACAGAACTGGCATTTCTTAATACCTCGTATACAACAAACACTTGGTACCATGATTCACAGTGTTATACATACACTACCAATGCCTTGGATAACCCAAAATCCACCAGAAACTATTTCTTAGAGATCCCTAAACTGCAAACCACTCTCTCGGAACTGGCCATCACTTCCAAAGTTCTGTGCCTTTGATTTTGCGCTTGACTGAGGAGAGGATTCAGAGATGTTGATGGATTGCCCTTCAGGAGGTAAGCACCTTTTGGAGAAATACATTGCTATACTTTTCTGCTTCCCACCCTTGTCTGTCAAAGATCAACAAGCTAATGTTAACATTCAGTATAACAACCCCAAACTTGATACCTACACAGACCATACTGATAAAGTGGAAATTGCTTTTGAGATGCTTGGCAAGTTGATAACTTGTTCGATTCAGTTGACTGTCAGTACCTGGAGAGGGCTCGGAGGCAGACAAGCCAAGCCTTTGCAAGACATCTTTCTTAACCTGTTCATGTGAAGATAAACAGAAACCAGAGCAAAGTTTCAGCAAGTTTCGGACAATTGTCACAAGCTTTGGTACTGTAAAATAAACGAATTTACCTGCCATCGATTGTCAACAAAATCTGATATTTCCCGTATTTTATTTCTTAATTGTGACTTTGGGATGCTTGGAAACTTCTGTAGCAACACATCTACCAGCTTATTAATTCCATGCGGACAAGATTGAATCAACCTAACCTGCAGTTCAAGGTCCACAAAATAAGGAAAATTATGAAGTATGAACAATCTGGCCATACATCATTGCGATGCTTACATATTCTGGCAAGTCCTTATCAGATACAACTGGTGCAGTGGCTGCTTGTGCAGCACTTTCCTCAGGAGCCAGGGGCACTTGTTGATCCTCATAGGATGTGCTGGGATTTGTAAAGATATCTACAATGGCTCCTCCAGGGATGGCCCGCATGCAGAGAGCCTGCAAACAGACCTGGTCAACTTTTGCCTTCCCATTAAGATCCTCGGCCGACAAAAGTTTGATCTTTTCATGACTTAGGTTGGATATCACCAGTGGCTGGCTCTTTCGAAGAGCCCTTTCTGTAAAAGTGCAGAGAATCTTGTGCTGCTGCAGCAATGTTCTAAATTCCTCATTATCAACCTCTAACTTACAACACTCTGAGACTTTTGCCTCATCATCTGGGAATTCAGATGTCTCGATTTGTACTCCCTGTAAAAAAATATGGGTTTAGTTCATACAAAGAACAAAGTTCAAGCATTCTGGCTGAACATAAAATTAAAATAACAAAAAAATCAAAATTAATATAGCATAATACTAGTTTTGCATGCATGTTTTGAGATACAATTGTCTCAATCAGTAATGACAAAAGCATATTTCTGCAGCAAACTTGGGAGAAATATGCAATCTGAGTTGAAACAGGGCCATTGTCAAGAAAAAGAATTAAATAAATTGGAATAGAAAAGATAAATAACAAAAACTACAAGCTTCATATATAATTTTGGAACATTTCAGATCAAAGTGCAAACTTCCAAAAGAAATGAAAAATTTACAGTAACAATTGTAAGGACAAATGAATTTGGAAAGGAAGATCATTATGAACAGAGCAAAGCACAAACATGTATCATCGCATCAGTGTTTTAAGGCGAACCTCATTTTCAGAAAGATAACCATCAGGAACAACAAAGCTGTCTTCACTTTCGATGTCATCCTCATCTTTCAAGTTTTCAGCATCTAAAATTTCTTCTACATCTTTTTCACAATCCGAAAGACTTTCACCTGGATCCTCCTGCACAAGATAAAAAAAAACAAGTCACACTTTTGGGTCTCAGTAACATATACGAAAAGGTTTCAGAGACAAGTACCTCTTCCCATTCCTCATCACTATCAACATCATAATCCAATTCAGGGTCCTTTCTAAACGGGTGCCTTGGACCAACAACACCACTGTAGTATCAACAATGCAGCAAAGAACATGATTATCAAAACTTCAATTAAAATCAAAATGAAAAAAGATCTGCAGCTTGTTTCTATGAATAAAAGCATGCCTTTTCCTGTGCCAAGTTCCATAATATGCTGGCTTAAAGCTCTTGTCAAACTGCAACAGCTTTTTAATCCAGCTCCTGGCTGATGATGAGGCAACAATAGGATCATTTTGATGTGATATATTGCTTATAGAAGATTCCAGTTCGTCATCAAACTTATAATAGCTTGATTCACTGCTATTATTCACTTCATAAGAGGAAGCATCCTTCATTGGCGTTGCCATTTTGTCAGGAGATTCGCCTAACAAGTATGGTCTTTGCAGCTTAAGCTCCTTGATCAATTCCATCTTAGGATTACGCCGTTGACCCCAGTGGCAAGACCTATTACAGTGAGCCAACTTATGCCAGCCAGCAATATGCAACCTGCAATATTTGCAGAATAATAACACATTTGAGATAATCTTAAACTGTCTCCTTCAGCTGCAACTAAATATATATCTGATAGCAGATCCTGAATTAGTAGTACTATAGGTGCATTCAACTTTAAAACTGTACTTCCTGAAGTTTGAGTAAGGAATGATTCTAGATTCCAACTCCGTCGAACTTACGTAATTATAAAGTATCCAGAGAATAGAAAACTTCAAAAAATATAAGCTAAATTTTAAAGAACAAAGAAAAAATAAAGGTTCTCTGATGAACCTGCAAAGGTCTTCCATAGACACACTATACTGCTGAGAGAAAGCACAGTCCATTGATGATGTAACTGCATTAGTTATTCCTTCATTTTTGGAAGCTGTATCAACTGATTGGCTTTTCATAGGTGACAATCTATCAGAATTATCTGAACTATTGCTACTCTTTTTACTTCTAAGAAAACATTCCATCATAGAAGCTTGCTTTTGCATGGCAAGCTGTTTCTTCTGCTCAGCTTCCTCTTTTTCACGACGCCGTTGTTCTCTGGCAGCTTCTTCTTGTCGCTTCTTATTTTGTTTTTTCAATTCAGCTTCTTCTTTTTCACGGCGTTTTTCTTGTCTTTCAGCTTCTTCTTGCATCCGCTTTCGTTCCTTCTCCTAAAATTGAGTGGGGAAAAGTAAACCAGTGAGAAAAAATGCAGACAGCCTAAATTTAGTGAGATCATGGCTAGCAAACCATTATCAAGTTACTGCCAAATTTCACAACCAAAGAAACTGTCTAAAATTTCTGAATCTAAATACACACCAAGATCAATTGATGGCTTCAGACAAACATATCTTCAGCAAGAACTTACCTAATGAGGCTAAAAGTCCAAATTTAAGGTTTTTTCTGGGTTCCACGAGGCTATGCCTCTATGTTGCACATAACTCAAGCCCCAATATTACACTAACCACTGAATCATGAAGCATACATGTTTTGACCTGGATGAACTCAAGAAGAATGGAGTCTTAACAGTTTAATCCAGTCACATAATAACGAAGATATTGTAGTGCTTGTCATATTTAACGGTATCATATACAAATGAAAAATGACAAATCAGGGTACAAATTTCCATAATGACTAAAAAGGACATGATTTCTTAAGTTCCATAAATGAATACAAAAAATGTTTGCTAATTTCTTGTGAATGTGCTCTTATTGCAAAGATGATTAGTACTGAGTATGGTATATCTAATATGATACTGACAATGTAGTTTTAGGTGTTTTTATTTTGCTTTTTTTTTTTATGAAAATCAAATTCAAAAGGCCACTAACCATAAAATCCAACTACCAAAAAACCTTAGTTTTAGGTATTTTTCTTTTGCTTTTTAAAAGAATCATTTTCAAAAGGCCACTAACCCTAAAACCCAAAAACCAAAAACCACTTTGGTGTTAAACCTTGTTGATAAGCCACATGTAATTCAACATACCATCCAATTTGGCATAATCCATTTGTGCTGCTTTACTTGTTAAAATGCCAATTGTCCTGTGTCTAAAACAATTGTTACAAGTACATCTTTCTATCAAACATTCAAATTCTGGATGTTAAAAAAAAGTAACTTTTTCTAGAGAAGGGGTCAAAATGTGTAAAATTTCAAACATCCAGACATCAAAAAAGAAATAAAAAGTTAGAAAACTAGAAGTTTACTAAAAAATTTAGTTGGATTGGCCTCCAATAACATATATGTAGACTATCTGAACCAAGTACCAGATTAAGCTTTTCGACTCAACATATTCATGAAACAGACAGATATATTCACATGAGAGGGACTAAATCAATTTGAAATGTACAATCAGCTCTGAATTTAGCCTAATACAGTGGCAACCTTATAGGTCGGACCAAGATTGAGCTCATAATTAAGACAATTAGCTTGATTTTATCTAGATTGATACATTAGTCAATTGAACTTTCCTGCCATCATGCATCAACAATTTTAAAACCTTAATTTCCATCAGTATATGTTTGCTGGATGTTCTCTATTGCAAAGCATACATAACTTATTTCAAATTCATAGAGTTCAAGAAAAACAAAGACAGCATGACACCATAAATAAAGAAGCAATATATCGACCCAATTAATAACACCTTAAATCCTTTACTTACTATTCGCAATTTTTCCTTCTGAAGCTCTAGATCCATTTTCTTCTTTTCCTTTTCAGCACTCCGTTTATTTTTCTCAGCTTCCTTCATTAATTCCTTTTCTTGTAACCTGGCTTCTTTGGCAGCACTTTCATGACAAAAGAATAATATTTTAGGTTAGTGCCAATTTAAAAGAAATAAGTAGTGACAATTTGAATATTCAGAAAAAAGTCAAAGAGAATGCATACTTGTCGACACATTTCTTCTGGGTCAACTTTTCAACTAATGAAGAAATCCCTTGCTTATTCAATATCTTGCCAAGAATCATCGATGGCTTCATCAGATCAGTTCTTTGGCCATCTTTATATTCAGAACTTGTCAACACAGATAATGTTGCTGAAATGCAAGATATGTATACTTTCAGCTGAAATCTTTAATGCAAAAAGAAGAAAACACTAAGATTTTGCACCAAAGATTTCATACAATTATGTGCGGTGTAGCATAGCATACTAAAACATTTTAATGCTTTAGATTCCAACAAAAGTGATATAGATAAATATATGCATACCTAACATTGTATAATGAAATGATAAAACATAATTCCCATAATTGAATGTTTTCTTTTCATGAGCATTGAAGAATGCAACAAAAAGTATTTTAGGATGCAAAGAACATGAGATAGTTAATACAACAAATGTGAAAGGGTCCAAAACATAGAAACAATGCATAATGAAGGCATTCAGAATAAACAAATGCCAAGTAATGAGATTTACAAAAAAAATCAGCAGTCATCTTAAGCATAAGTTCATCAGAAATTAAGAAATTAGATCAGGGTAAATAAACCAAACAATCCATCAAAAGGAGGACATTCTTTTGGGTACTAAGGGAGAGGACGATGAACTATTGTGTATGTTAAATTGTCAAAAATAACAAGCTCTATCTTCTGCTTGTTACGTAAAAATGCTATAGCTTGCAACAAAGATAAAACCATTTCCATGATGTGAAAGGAGTATAAATTTTGTGCTAATAGAAAAGAACTCATTGGTTTACTACTAAAGCAAGCTATATGTGTATTTCCCAAGAAAGATGAAAGGAATATTCCTTTTTCTAGAGCACTGCCCATGAGGAAAAAACACTATAGCCAACCCAATCAAGCATCTATTGGCGTGTGCATAAAAAGAGTATCCAAATCTCGCTCTGTCCTGAGTCGTTACACTGATATCTTGCCAGTGTCACGTTTTAAAGTTACATTGTAATTTAAGTATATTAAAACGATCACAATGTCTCTGCCAACAAATAGCACAAAAAGTCAAAACAACAAAGATTCTTACCACAGAGGGCAGAAATCCTCTCATGAATCTTCTTCCGAGCTATGCGTCGAATGTTGACAATGGCACGAAGAGCAGCAGAGAACAATTTGATATCTCTTGTCTGATCAACAAAATATCAAATATCAAGAGCAATTGCATTTAGCTTTCCAGCACAAAAATTTAACCATTGAGACTGCAAAAAGATAAATTGGATTAAAGCAGCCAAAGGGAAAATAATAACAATAGCAACATCATTACCTCCCAGCACCATAGGCATGACTCTGACTCATCTTCCAATACATCGGCATCCGCACTGGAAATACCATACATCACTCTCTGTCCTACAAAAAGCACAGTACTGCGAACAGAAGCCAGAGTAATCCCCTCTCTTCCCTTCAACTTGTCATAAATTTCCTCGACTAGTTTGGAAAATGAAAGACTTCTCTCCTCCAGCAAATAAGCAATCATCAAATTGTTGGAATGGCATTCACTATCATCATGTTGCAGCCCAAGACCAGAAAACTCCTTGTAATACTCAAACAATTCTTTGATTTCACGCCGGCATTCAGCTGTAAGAAATTCCTTATCATCAGAGTTCGTATTCCCATCAGTAGCAACTCTTTTTCTTTTCAACTGCTTCCCTGCCCCCTTCTGCTCATCTTTCACTTCAGTGTGGCAGTTTCTCCGTTTCTTGACATGAGAATTGTCTTTGGCCTTTCCCAAAACATGTTTTGAGCCTTGTGCTGGAATATCAAGGGACATTGAATTTGTACAATGGACTCCCTTCTCATCATGATCAGCTTTGGTTTGGTTCCTTTTTGCTTCTTCATCAGGGGTATCTTCAGGATCCATAAACTCCCCATCAAATTCAGGGGCTTTGTTGACAACGACACTTTCTTCCTCTTTCACTGGGATTTTTTCCAAAATCATGGCATCCTCATCAACTTTGGGGGGATTACATTCATCAGTTCGATCAGCGCCAGGAATCACACCACCAGTACATCCCGTTGTCATTGTTTAAACTAGTTCACACCACAACTCAAAAGAATTAAGACTCAGAATCTTAAAGGTTTCTCCTGAGATCAGCATAAAAATCACACAACGAACCACACTGTAGACAAAAATGACGGTCGCTGCCCGAAAGGAAAATTTTTTGGGGTTTTAGGAGCACAATAGACCACCCGTTCGACGCTACAGCCCTTCAGATACTCTCAATTCGACCACATTCTTGCACTTTAGTTTGAAGCGCCGCCTCCAGATCCGTACACCTAGAAATACGAAGAGTAAGATCCAACCTAGAGTTCACAAACCTTTAAGAAATCCAAAATACATCAAATCCGTAAGCGAACCCCCAAAATCCCTCACAAATCCACGGCGAGAACATGCAAACAAACCCTCATTCCCACCGAAACCCGCGCGTCTACAGAATCGAAACGTCACCTGCAAATCGATCCGAGAAATGGATAGTAACGGACATGGATCAGCTGAGATCGTTGGTTTCTCCGACGAGTAAGCGCGCGTTCTTCTCCTCTCGTTTCGCCCCCCTTACGGCCACCCTTTCCACTGTGTTCGATGACGCGACGGGGTGGGGAGGGAGAGCGGCCATCACATCGAACGGCTTTAATAACTCGCTGCGTGTGATCTGATCCAACGGACGATGTCACTCGACGAAGAGCAGATGATACGTGGACCGTCCGACGGCATCGAAATCTTCCCGCCAATGGCACCTTTTCTTCCCTCGTTACGCGAGTCGGTGAGGGTCCAATTCCCGTTATAAAACAATCAAATTGACGTATCTATCCCTGTAATATTTGAAAATAACACAATTACCCTTATGATTTTAAGAATACATACGCCTCTTTCATTAATATTCATATCATCTTTAATATTATTATCGACATAAATTAGTTTAATATTAATTGATATGAATTAAAAACATAACATACCTAATCTACCTAAAATATTATTTTCATTGAAATAATATACTAACTCTAACTTAAATTTAAATAATTCGTCGACACATGAAACTCATATTTATCGAAAGAAGGTTCATAAATATTATAAGAATCATGAATGTTAGAGAATATTTTAGTAGACATAAATGGTCGATTATCGCATACTATAAATAGGGGGTTTCTTATAACTACAAGATACTTTTTTTAGTATATACTATAAATAGGGGGTTTAGTATACATATCTTCTTAACCTTTAATATTTTATCTATGTTGTGCATTTATTAATTTAAGAATCAAATGAACCTAAATTTAAAGACTCTTTTATGAGCATTTTGTACATTGGGATGTCTTCATCCCTATAAGATTCGACAACAGAATCGGATCAATTTTGTCATATCCAACCGACAAACTTCGACTCGAATAGATTCTTCTTATTCATAATAGAACTCATCAAATTTGTCAAAACTATCGAGAGATGAAAAAGATCTTTAATTTGTCGCCGTACCATTTTGGAAAATGCTTCGTTCACGAACATTATTATCGACTAAGCTATATGTAATTCATATCCACCAAAAAGTCAAACAAGTATATCTTTGGAAGATTTATGCTGCCACGCTGACGGGAAGTCAACTTGGAATCCCTCCTTATCTGGCTTGGATTCCCAAGCCGCAGTAAAAAGACGACCCTGCTGCGCTTTAATTGCCATGCCTTCCTCTGCTCCCTCCCCCCTCGTTGCCATGCGCTATAAATCCCTCCTTCCCCGAATCTCTCGTCGAAGCAAATGCAGCAGAGGTTCCTGAATGGCATCCAGGGGAAGGTCGAATCTTGTGGGTGTGAATGGAGGCCGAGGAGTCGGAGGCCTGAACAATGCCCGCTTGGGTGTCGCGGTGGGTGAGGGGTCGGGCCTGAAGCACAACCCGGGCTCGTCGACGTATTGGACGGAGGCGGAGCGGGCCATTTTCGAGGAAGGCGTTATAGAGTGAGCATTGCCTGATCTTTTTCGCTTAAGCCCCGTTTCTTAGGCGATGGACATCCTTCGCCTAGAAATATTTTATGCTGGAGTTCATGAGTGTGCTGTTTATACCATGGTTGCTAATTATGTAAGTGTTTACTCTTAATCTTGACATTTGTTCGAACATGATATCTTGGTTGCTTGTTCTTGCATCTGATTGGGTAAGACCGAAACCAAATGTCCTTCAAATTGCAGAAGATTCCGATCGAAATTGTTTCGAGTGATTGTTTTTAGTGGGACCTCTTTGATGGTAGAATGAAGTTCGTAAATTACTGGCCTTTGTTTTTGAAGACAGTGTCTTCGATTTTATCCATGTGTTTCGGCTGCTAGCTTTGTTTTTAAGAATCCATCTACGAGCATATTCCTTGAGGCAAAATTGATATAAGTTGAAGCATCTACCTTATTATACATATTTGGAGATGTCAACATGGAGTGAGCTTTTATCGACAAATGCCGGTGAGGGGTTTCACGGTAATGGGCTATTACAAGGTTATGTGTTCATCATCCATCTTAACCGGTAAAGCGAGAATTTTATCACATTTTAAGTGCCTATATCAGAGAATATATATTATATCTCATCTCTTTCATTTCTTTTACGAGGAGAAACATTTTATATGACATGGTAACCGGATGTGCAAGTTTTGGTTGCTACAATCAAATTTTATTTGATAATCTTTTACTTGATTTACTAGTCACAGTCACTGGTAATAACAGAAAATTTTCAATTTTAGTCACTACTGTCATGCTTGAGGTTTGATTATTACAACAGGATCAATTTCATCTATCCAAGTACGTTAACGTTTTTTATGCTCCGTAATGATAAATGGAAAACAAGATTCCCATAATTAATTTCACTTGCTTGCAGATTTGCTTCAGAACCGAGCATCGACCAATATGCCACGATTGCCAAGAAGTTGCCAAATAAAACAATTCGAGATGTGGCCGTGCGCTACCAATCACTGACTGTAAGTATCATAAGATGTTAGATCTCAATCCTGATCGATAAGCCATGTATGTTGCTCAAAGGTGATTTTGTCGTCGACAGGCTGTATTGTGTTTCAGTGCCATTAAACCTTGACATTTCTAGTTAGCCTATCTACAAGCTACCTTACTGAAACTATGACAAGAAATCAAAATTAAATGGAAAAAGAAAGAAAAGAAGATCTATATAATTGCTGCAATGGTAGGTCACATGCATTATGACTGGAATCTCACCTTCTGTTAGCATTTGTTAATTGATACTTGATAGTAAAAAGTTACTTACAATTCACCAGTAATCCATTCCTTGCGGTGGGCATACTCATTTCACTTTGACAACCATAAGTTGCAGACTCGTCACTAGAATATACTTTATATGCATTTAAGTTTCCAGAGATCTATATACAATCTAGCATATTGAACAGTGGTTGGTTCATTGTCCATCCAGATGCATTTACCTAGGCACAGCTGCACTGATGGACGGACAAAAATGATTTAAATGTTGATCATGCATTCCCTGGTAACAATAGGTTGATGAATGTGTGTTACCGACTTGCCGCAACTGATAGAATCTTAGCTATAAAATCTTGAATTTTGGTTCATGTATGAAGGAAGGTCATAGTTATCTAAGCTGCAGATTTTACTAGGTGATGACAGTGACTCGCCAATATCTAGATGGACGATAAACAAATTTAAACATGGTCTACTCATAGCAGACATTTGGCGAGTTTGACCAAGTCCTAGATGTTCAGCATATGGCCTTTTTAGATTATGTAGTTTCTAAATGATTTTGGATTTGAATTTCCATGGGACTATGTGCTGCTAGATTCTCCATTACCAAGACGATCTCTTAAAACCATGACAATACTTAGCTAGGGAGTATCTTTATTCACTTTCTGAGTCTGCTATGCTACTCCCTGGATATGCTCAGACAGACTTGATATCACTTGAAAGAGTATAACTCAAAACTGAAAGGAAGAGAAATATTTTGGGAGATGACAACCCAGTCAACATCTGATAATATAGAATTTTGACAAAATAATACACAGAGGCCGTGGATAAAGGTCATTCACAATTCCGACATAAGAAAATGTAAGCATCATAAAGGCATTTCCTTTGTAATTGCTAAAATATTTGGCTTTTCTGGTTCACTGCTTGTCTATCTAGGACTTTTGTGATACTTGGCAGCTAGCTAGCTAACAATTAAATATGTAATTAATTTGATTTAGCCTGATATTTAGCAGTTTGGCAAAAAAAATAGAAACATGCTCAATACCTGAAATATGTTGCTAAAACTTATTAAGATGACCCATTTGTTTTTAATCCTGTACTTGGAAGTCATTCAATCTGTTTAAGTTGCTGAGATACCTAGAGTATTGCATTCACTGACACGACAACCAAACTTTTGAAAGACCTTATTGTTTCACAGATCTTGTTTTGTATGCTTTCAATTGGATTTTAAATGTGAAAGCATATTTTCTGTGCTTGTATGTGAATTTATTTCCCCCTACTTTAGATTATACCAATTAAGAAATGCTCATCTTAGTTATTACATGTTGAATTACTATGCCAGGCATGCTAATCTCACTGCACATCTGGAATTTGTTTGCTTTGTCCCAAAAGTATTGTACATCAGAAAGCCATACACATTAATCTTGCTCTTGCATATGGAATTCTACTTTAATAGTCCGCATGCCATGCTACTTCGTTATGAAAAGTATTGCAAGTATACCAGATATGGTCCACTGAATCTTGATATCATCACTAAAAGATGCACTGAGAAGTCTTACGTTTCAGGAATGAAGTTACTTTTGCAAAGAGATTTTCTCATGTTACTGTCTTTTTATCGGAATAATGCATCGATCAACTTAATGAAAACTATCTTGATATTTATTCCTCAAGAGGGGGTTTAGATCCTTCAACAAGGCCATCAGCCCAATTGATGACAACCTGCAAATGTTCAATGTAGACATCATGGAAATTATGTCAATTTATAGTATGTTAAAATGTCGTCACGGAAATTAGAAATCTATTCTGCCTACCTGTGGATAGCGATGAGAACTTCCATAAATACTATTGGATCTTCTATTTTGAAGAAGAATTCTGTTGAACATTATATCTAGTTTTTGTTGTATGCTTTGGGGTGTTTCTGTTCCCAAATCCTTTCTTTTCGATGGACACAGAATCCAGTAGTATCGATGCTTCTATTGCTTCCAGCTCTTGTAATCATCAGGGAAGCTCCTTTTGATACTTCATATGGATCAATTATTTGGAACAGTTAAAATGCCAAGACAAGAATGTATGTTAAGATTATCTTGAGCGCGTGCGCACGCACACACACTCACGCGCATGTAATTCAAATGATATCTTTCCTACAGCGGAGGCTTCATCTAATTCAATTTACTTTTAGAACTTCTACAAATTATGCATCGGTGTATTCTGATTACCTTTTCATGTGCTTTTTGTTTTGTTGCTACCTGCTCAACTTTCCATGTAAAGGCTTTGCAGTAGCCATTTGAAACTCCAAGTACATAACGCACTGCAGTTTTCCTCCGTATAATACTTTTGACCACTTGTGTATCTCACAAAGGAGGCTTTGCCATTTCCTGACTTTGTCCTCGACATATATGCTTTCAGGCTTTAACCAAAATGCTGCAGACTTGTTTATCCGACCAGTGACTATTGTGGACAACAAAACACAAACTGGAAAGGCATTTTTCGCTTTAATTAAGGATATATACAGCTTCATATATCTTCTAATTGTTCTAACTTTTGTTACTTGTTCTGCAGGTTAAATTTTATCCTGAAGCATTGAGACAAATGACAACTCTCCAACTCTACCGCTTCATGTTAATGTTGTTGAATAGCTTGCCAACTCCATCCTCCAAACAATTTTGTGGTCTATGTATGTATCACGATGTCCGCCGTCATTTCCGATGAAAGATTAGATGACTGGAGCTGGCACATGGTCCTCTTAGCTGATAAATGATCTAAAACCATGTCCTCTTGCATCGGTTATAAACTTCTTTTCTCTTTATCGGTTCAGTATATAGAGTTTTCAGTAGATTGTCATAGTAGCTGCAGATGTATATAACCTCAATCCAACCTTCAGTGGGGCAGTAAATAAAAATCTTCTCTCTTCTTTTGTTCTAATTGGCAATATCTCTTTGTTGGCAGAAATATACATTAGCTTGTTGAGGTTCTTTTTTTTGTTTCCCTCTACATCATTCAATTGTTGTAAGGATCAACTCTTTGTTCATCCTCAAAATTCTGATGGTTGTTAGAAAAATGAAGTCATCAACACCATGGCCTTTATATTTATTCTATATAAAGGTGGATGGATGAAGGTTTCATGATCATCTGCAGTTTATTTTGTTGTTTGGTTTCTCGGGGACGAAAAATAACTCAAACCCAACATAAAAACTTTATATATCAATAAATAAAGAGCATACCAAAAAAATAACATAAGTTTTGATGTGATTTGATAAATTTCTATATAAAAAATATTTTTTTAATTAAAAATATAATATAAGAAATCATTCTCATTTAAGTTAACTCACACTCAAGGTTGAAATTCATTACAAACCCTCTCATATAGAAACAAATCCCAATCTCTGATGAGCATCAAAAGTGTTTTATCTTTTTTTTTTCACCAAAACCTCGAGACTCAAAACAAATCCTAATTCTTCAATGACTCGGTTTGTTTTAATTCATAATTTAAATGTAATTATGACTTTTCATAAAATAGTTAAAACATAATTAAGACTCTTAATATAGTTACTAACCTTAACATGATTGAACTGAGGAATAGTATGTTTGATTAAACTTAAATAAAAATATATCATTTGATCTTTATTTCTAATCAATTTAATAAATACCGACCAATATGTATTGATCCGATCGAACCAATGTAATGAACCACAAGCCGCCTTTAAGTCCATTATAGCATAGATATTAATTTTCACTTATTTTTAAAATTTTTAAATGAAAACTTATTTGTTGTATAGAAAAATATAAACCGTAGTGAAGTTAGAAAGCTTCGAATGGTGATTAAATGGGTAGAAAATTCTTAATAATTTAGGACACCAATAAATTAAAAATAGAGCTCCCAAACAAAATTTCCTATGTTGGTCTTAATTTTAATTAATACTATCGCACACAATAACAAAAAACAAAAACAAAAAGAGAAAGGAATTTAAGAACACAACAAATAGAGTTAATGTCAAATAGCCCCTTTTCGGTTTCGAGGCTTTCACGCCCAAATTGGGGTCCGTACTCGGACCGGACTTGACCCAAACCCAATCGATTGGGACGGGAATAATACTCCTGTTTTAGGGGTATTTACGTCACATATGGTAAATTTTGGAAACTAGGGTTTTTCGCCGCGCTACTAAATGACGTGTCAACAGCCGCCCTCCCGGATTAGGGTTTTCCACGGAGAGGCGCAGCACCGGAAGCCAGCCGCCTTCCCCGTCGAGGCGCATCAAAGATGGTATCTTTCTCCTTCGATCGTTCTTCCCCATGCGAATCGTGTCAAATGTCGAGTCGCAACGCAGGTTTTGGTTCTGTATGCGTAGTCAGATGTATAGCGTTCCCACTGCTTCGGTAAAATGCTGGTTTCAGTTCCCATTTTGAGACGGTGGGATGAGGTTATTCTTAGTTGATGGAGCACCGACCGGTGTTAGCAGTTTTGGCCATTGGACTCATTGCATTGATGATAGTGTTATGTTGACTTGTACTGATCAAAATTAGTTCTTGGTTCTTCTGAATCCGTGTTGCTTATCCTTCTCTTGAATGATTGGTTTTGTACACATCGATGCGTTTGCAGCCGAAGCAGATTCACGAGATTAAGGATTTCCTTCTCACCGCGAGAAGGAAGGATGCACGGTCGGTGAGGATAAAGAGGAGAAAGGATGTGGTCAAGTTCAAAGTCCGCTGTGCCAAGTACCTCTACACACTTTGCGTGTTCGACCCCGAGAAGGCAGACAAGCTGAAGCAGTCTCTTCCGCCAGGTTAGATTTGCTATGCTCGTGTGTAATCCTCGTTCGTTTGTTATGAGATCGGCATTGTACTATAAGTGATAAAAGTCTAATTCATGCAAAAAATATGGCATTAATTAGGCGATCTCGCATTCAAAGATTATAATTGCCAACATCCTTGTCTGCCATAGCAATGGAGCTCCAGGGTAAAGTCAAGATTCAGTTTCCATGTTCAAGAACATTGCACATGCATCCTGATTTGAGTTTTGTGGTGTCATGATTATTTGCAAGGAACAGTCTGTTGATCTTGATGTTATCAGTAGGCAATATGTGGGCTGCAATTGAGTTAGAAATAGGGTTATACATGCAATGAACTTTAGCTGACTTTGGAACTCTGAGCAACAGCATAAGAACTTTGGACTGAGTTAGAAATAGGGTTATACATGCAATGAACTCTAGCTGATTTTGGAACTCTGAGCAACGGCATAAGAACTTTCGACGGAGTTAGAAATAGGGTTATACATGCATTGAACTTTAGCTGATTTTGGAACTCTGGGCAACTGCATAAGAACTTTGGACGGAGAGCGAACTATTGATGATACCTGGGTTTGATATTTTTTAGGAGTCACTGTTGTAAAACCTCTGTATGTTAAAGGGGAACCCAACACATGAGTCTCCTGTCAATCTGCAATTTGGGGACGATTAATGTGCGGTCTTATCCCCGCATAGAGGAAAGTTGTTTCTGTGCTAAGAGGCATTATGATATCTTCTTTCTTTCCTGTGCTATACATGCCAAATTATGTTATTCATTTATGGTTGACATTAGTCGATTGATAATTAGAAAAAAGGTATATAATAACATGCTCTGACACAACAGAGTTGTGGTGAAAATTTCCAGTGTTTCAGGGAGAAAATGGATTGATATTTGCTGATCATCTGTTTCCATGTTAAGAGTCATTATGATCTCTCTCTTTTTTTTCTGGGGCTATGTATACCAAACTAAGCCAACTGGTAACGGCGAAACGAATGAATCACAGTGATAATTTCAGTGTTTTAGAAATAATGCGAATGATATTTGCTTATAAACATTTGTTTCCATGCTAAGAGTCATTATGATCTCTATTTTTTTTATGGGGCTATGCATACCAAATTAAGCTAATCGATAATTGCAAAGGGTATATAGTATGAACTTCTAACGCATTGAATCACAGTGGTAGCTTCCACACTGTTTTACGAAGAAACCAAATTGATGTTTGCTGAATTATTTGATTAAAGTGCAAGTCGATAGTGATCCGATTTGTACAATGTTGCAGGTTTAAGCGTCCAGGAAGTCTGAAGACGAAGTTTCAATTTTGCAGTCTGTTGCTTTAGCTTTCAAGCAGAAGCAGTTTGTTTCGACATGTAAGGTTTTAATTCGGTGAATCGCTTCTGTTCCAACTTTGAATGGAATTAGTGCGAGTGTTAGTGCTTCGAAACATAACGAATGATATGATATGTTATGCTCTGATCTTTTTTACTCTTTTACTCTTATATGTTCAGTGAAACAAAGTAGATGTTTGTGATCCTTTAAACTGATCCAGTGACCCGAATCGGAATCTTGTTTGGATCCACGACATGCAACTCATGTGACAGGTCCCAACCTAATCGATTTGGGAAGGACCCAAAAACCCGTGGAAGACACATCAACCGATTGCGTGCGGAGCAGAGTTATCCAGAGTTGGTGAAGCTTGGGTATAACAATTGCCACCCACCACCCATAACCCATAAATTCATCGGATTTGGTTCAACCACTGACAGTAACTTGGTAGCAATGACGTCTTCATGTTAGATATGGTGTTAGATGTATAGCTTAGGCTCGTCCTTCATCTCGCTCCAGCCACCAGACCACCGATGGAGTTCAGACGGGCAAAGCAGGCCACCGATGCTGAGCAGCTGCTGCTGCCTCGACCGCCGAGGTCCCGCAACGAGCTGCTGCTGCGGCAAGCCTATCTGCGCAGCTACCAGTTCACCGTCAGGGAGAGCTTCAGCGACCGGCTGCGGAGGAACCTGAGGGAGGCCGGCGGGGTCGGGAAGGCGTTCCTTTCCGAGATCGTCGACCAGGTGTTCGACGTGAGGCTCGGGGTGAGGGTGTTGAGGTACTTCCGGTCGAGGTTGCAACGAGCAGCGATGGGTCCTGTGAGGTGCTTCACGCCCCGGAAAAGCTGCTACTCGGGCCAAGTGGCTTGATTTGTTGCAGGGAATTAGTGATGTGGTGGGCCACCAGTGTTGGTCTTTGTGTGTATGTGCGCGTTTCCATGTTCTACTTTTCAGGTCAATATGGCTAGCGAAATCTATCATTGCATATTCATAATATTTAGTGGATATTTAGACTCCAAAAACAATAACAAATAAACATTACTCAACTAGAGATATTTGATAAGTCGGGGGTGCTAAGTAGATCTATATTGTGCTCCCATCTAATAAGAAAGATATCAATAATGTTTAGATCAGTCTAATTTAATTTGGATTCATATGCGTAAAAAAATTCGATAATGATGAAGGATTTCAACGTTAATTTGGAAGGCTACTATCGACTCTCCTATTTATCTTATAATCGATTTACATAAAAATCAAGATTTGATAAAATTTTCAACACGATCATCCCAACATCTAAGTTAGTAATCCCATATGAAGTAATTTTAGCAAACCGTCACTACCCTCATCTTTGGTAGCATGATAAGCTTTGATTAATGGGTTTAACTCACGAAAATATTTTAAATAATAAATATTTATCTTTTGTCTCTCCTGAGGGAACTGTCATATATCGAGCCGTTTTTGATACGGGTAAAAATCCATATAACTGTCACAACCGTCGAAAAGGGGCGATGGCTCGATCTCGATTTCTATCACCCGAACCATTTGGCTTGTACCTGTCTCTCCATTCCTTGCTGGAAACTAGATTCCAGCCGTTCGATCGTGATCGGACGGACGCTATCTCGGATCAAGTTGCCAACCACGGGCTTCCACGAACCGGAACGCGGCCCGAGGAAACGACGCCGAGGGGGAGGCCCTCTACGGTAATTTCACTGTAACTCACGCGCCGTGCACGTGCTATATAAGGGTTTCGTTGCCGGAGGGTAGAAATCCCTCGTCGCCCCTGACCCGAGAGCAGAGCGCTCTCCCTGTTTCACCGAAATCTCGCCTTCGCCACCCCGCTCCACTCTTCTCCCTCCTCTCGCTGATGATCTCCGGTCTCCAATGGCAGACTCCTGAGGTTAGGGTTTCTATTCGACCACTTCTTGATGCTTTTTTTTGCCGTCTTCGTTCATTTTTCGATTCGAGACCGGCAAAAAGATCTTTTGATCATCGCAACGGACAAAAGCCGTTGGATTTTATAGTTTTGTAGGGATCGCTGTTTGGTGGGCTACCTCCTGATCGAGGGTTGGTTTTCTTGTTGCTAGGGTTTGGAAATGCGCCCCCCCTTTTGGGTTTTGGCTGGGTTTTGATTGCTCGCGGTGTGACGGGTAGTGCTACGGGGAGTGATAGCTCCATAGTGGGGGTGGAAGAGCGTTATGGATTCGAAAGGAGATGGCGCAGCGATCACGCCATTGCGGACCAGTGATCGGCTCCGTCAGCGGCCTAAGTATTTTGGCCGGCCTTATTTGTACTACAAGCCCGTGATAAGGAAGAAGATGAAATCTAAGAAGAGGACTGCTGCTTCCCAGATTGCTAAGAAGTTGCTCCGGCCTAGAAACCGCTCTGTTCAGATGCCTCCTTCGGATGTAAGAGATTATGTTTTTGGTAGTTAAGATCTTTCATATTGGAACGTTACATTTCAAATGGACCTAGTTTCCACTTCAATGTTAATGATTGTTTGTGTGGAATTGCGGATAGAAAGTTTTGGTTTTATGACAAACAAAACCTCAAATATGTAGTGTCACCTGGAAACATGGTTTGTCAAACTTCATGTTTTCCTTCTTTATAGTGGTTTATGTTTGTCCGCATGCAGTGGAAAATGATCATAAATGTTAGTGCAAGCACACATCACACACCTCAAAGGGGTGGTGTATGCTGGGTAATCACACATCATAAATGTCAGGGCAAGCACACATCTCATAGAAATTGGTGCATGCATGAAAATGCTTGTCGTTCACATTTTAGTGCACGATTTGAACTTTCTAACTGACCCTAGAAAAGATGAGACTTTTTCACCACAACCCATCAAAACATAAAATTTTCTTTTGGCTTGACCTTCATTAGGAGGATGATGGTCGACATTCGTGTTACATCTTGAAAAGAAAATGTAGTTGCTTGTCCTTGATGTTGAATTGCTATATCTGATTTAGAACATGAGCAGTACATATATAATGATAGAAGACATTACACAAGATTCAGAAAACAAACTTGTAAAATGAACTTTCCCTGTTTGCCAAGACTTCTAAGGCATCTTACAGTAATGGTTTTTGTCAGTCATATGATATAGCCAAATATATACAAACTTTGGCTGTCAAATAATAACTACAAAGTGCCAAAATGCAAGTCCAGCATCTTTAATAAGCAATATTGCAATAGAAGGCCTCTTTGGGAATGAAACAATTTTTATTTATTGAAGTCATGGTTCCTTTGGGAACATCCATACTGTCTATAATTTCTTTGTTGCTGATTCTTTTAAACCAACTTTTGTAACGAGCAACAGGATGATATGTGATAAATGGTCATTATTTTCATGCTTTTCATGTGTAGTTACCAGCTTTTTCTCGGTAACCAATTAAGAACCTAAGAGTGAAACAGAGACCCTATGCAGTTAAAACTCTTGATTTGCTAAAATTTGTGATCTGTTTTAAATACACTGTCAACTTACCGGCAATAACAAGATTGTTCTTTTGGTACACTTCTTAATTTCTCTGCCTTGTGGATTTTCTGGATGCACAGGTTATTACTTTTAACTTAGATTTGCGTAATTGAGGCCAACTTTGTTCGAGTACTTGATGTTTGTTTGAACCTGAGTTCATCTTTCTTTTTGTTGTCTGCATCATAATGCTTGAAATTCTGCTTGCTTCTAGGTTTCGCTATTCTGTTTTCTTAGAGCAGGTGCAGTACATGTCCTGTCTCTCTTAGTGTATGGATAAATTATGTTCTAGTTGAACTGTTCATCTTCCATCTCTTTTCTCAAAGCATGTGCGGTATGGTTCTGCCTCTCTTTAGTTGATAGATATATTCTAGTTTTAATCTTCCTTTCTGGGTAAGCATGGTAGTAGAATGCTGTCTTCGCAAATGGTTCAGTTTTTTGTGCTATGGTGATTGATTTATTTTGTGAATCATTGGGGTTGCCTTTTTTCTTGTGGTTCTTGCTCCTCCAGGTTCAAGGATTTAATTGCTGTAGCTACAATATTAAGTTCTTTAGCTTGAGTCCCTTGAATCATTAATCCTTGATGTTTGGTGGTTATATTTATTGTTATGTCAAACCACAAAAGAGGGAAAAATTTATTGAAATGATTCCCAGAAAATTTTAGATATGTTTTGTGCAGCAGTCTGCTTGCTTTTAACATTAGGTCATACGTATTCTGCTTATGATGGTATTCTTAACACAACACCTTCTCTTTGTTTGATCAAGCATATTTCTGGTTCTCTGTCTGCTTATTCTTTGTGTAGTCTGTTGCAACAAACTTACGCCGCTCTACGAGAAAAAGAAAGATGTCAATAAACCTGGAAGACTATGAGACAGACACTTCAGGAACAGAAGATGATGATTTAATGGTATGTTTATAACCTTGCTTGTATGCGTAATCTTTACACAACTCAGTGATTAGCATGGTGCCACAGGAGTTTAAACTGTGTAATTCTTGTTTTTTATGATTTATTTTGTATTTTGATGCTAGTTCTTTTTCAGACTCCTAGGTATCGTTCTTCAAGAAACAAGGCAGAGAACAATGTTAGCCATGATGAAGTATTGGGTCCGAGGAATAAAAAGATCACAAATACTAATTCCCTTCCACGCCGTGAGGGTTTACGTCCTAGAAGATTGTTGAGTGGGGGAAGAGCACAACTATATCAAGAATCAGAAGAAGACCAGGAGAGCTCTGAAGAGCAGGCTGCCCAAGATGAGACTGAAAATGGTAATGATGCAGAGGAGGATATTGGAAATGAAGAGGATGGTGATGGGGGAGATGAAGTAGCAGAAGATGGGGATGATGAAGATGGTGAAGAAGAGCAAGAAGGAAGGAGACGATATGACTTACGGAACCGTGCTGAGGTTCGTAGACTATCAAGTGAAAAGGATGGACAACAGAGACCCCGATCCCCTCGTAGAGTACTTCATCATGGAATGGGCTCCAAAAGCAATAGATATCTAAGAAGAGGTGGATCTCGGGTACATAGACGACATCGTTTGTCATTACCCGATGATTCTGATGACTCTCTTCTAGTGGATGAAATGGATCAAGGTCCCTCTATTCCTTGGACACGAAATGGAAGTAGAAGTGGGACACCGTGGCTCTTAGGTGGTCTAGACATGCATGGTGCAACAGCATGGGGACT